AAGCCTCACTGGTCTCGGTCTCGACTCGGACTCGACTCTCTCTGGTCTCGGTGTCGACTCGGACTCGAGTGAGGTGGTCTCGACTACAACACTGAAAGATACGCAAGGATTTTGAAGCTACATGAAGCAGTGTTTTTAATTTCTCTTTAAGTAAAGTGTTACCAATGTTTCTTTCGCCACGTAAGCCTGTTTTCAGCTGCATTATGTAAATCAGTGTCTCTTTCAACTGTTTTCAGCTTCCTGTAAACCCATTTAAGACCCGAGGACTGAGAGGAAGTGAGATTATATCTGTGATTGTGACATCAATTCCTGCTTAACACATCAGCGTACCACACCGAGACATGTGCAAACCTTTCTCAAACATGCAAAAGACAAACAAATGCTAAATTCAACACATATTTATTTTCAATGCCGCGTTTTTAAACACCATGAGTTAAACGAGGCGCTGAGCGTTTTTTTCATGCTGAAGCGCCGAGCATCCAGAGTTTATACTGGTCGCCGGGAGTTGAAAAATGTTCAACTTTGGATAAAACGCAGCGCTCCCCACTGTCACTTCTTACCCAGCCGTCCAATCACAGTGGAGGAGGGGCGGGGCTAAACCACAATGACCAACTGTCACAACATTCTTTCTGTACAACGACATCAACCAGCAGAGCTAACTGAACAAAATGGATGAAAAATATTTTTTTAGTATGAAACAAATTATCTGAGAAATCAGTTACAAGTGAACTGTGCTGCGGATATTCTGTATCATAGCAACGAAACGTCTCAACGGAAAAACGCTGCGCTGCCAAAACGCTCTCAAGCGCCCAAAGCACGACGTCTTCAGCAGAGAGTCTGGTGTTTTCAGCTGGATAAAAACGCTTTGGTGGAGTAATCCTGAAGACATTGATTAGCTTGTTCAGGTGTGTTTGATTAGGGTTGGAACTAAATTCTGCAGGACAGCGGCTCTCTAGGACCGAACTTGCCTACCCCTGTCATATACGAAGAGAGAATATGCATCGCATGCTAACTCATACTCAAGCTTACACTGATTTGAAAGCCGAGTGAGGGAGCACGGGCTGGAGAATATCTTTAATGGCGATGATGTTGTCGTGTTTGAAGTGTTTCAGAATCTTCAGCTCTCTCAACGTGCGTTTGGCATTCGTCACAACCTCAAAGGCATTGGGGATCTTCTTTATTGCCACCTGCTGGCCTGAATGCATAAATAACATTAGAATTAAAGGGGTCATGAATCGACACTGTCTTTAATAAACATTTCCTTGATATTTTGACATAGCATAGCAAAAATGTGAAGGTGGAGATCGAATTTCTACAATGGTAAACAAATCCCGTATTACGAATTTACATACAGGTCAGAGAACATTGTGTTTATCATTTTCGAATCATTTTTTTTTTTTTTTGGTTAAAACATGTTCAATTCACAGCCCTAAATATAATACATTATCTTAAAAATATACTACTTGCATATAATGTTTTTGGTAATAATAATAACAATAATTACTGTTATTATTAATATTATTATTACAGCATTATTCCAACATTGTTAATATATTATTATTTTTACAACAACAACCACCTCCGCATTAATATATAATAATAATTAGGTGTGGGAATCTTTTGGTACCTGACGATTAGATTCAAATTTCGATTCGATATCATAGATTTGATTCTTTGATTCTCTATTTGACTGGCAGACAATTAAAAGGTCTTGAAGAAAGAAAGAAAAAAATCCCATTTAATTAAATGTAAATCTTCTCATTTTAGTCAACCCCATTTTATAAAACAAATGCCATTAAGCTGACTGCAGTCATTACACACGTTATTTCATTTTTTTAAATATATTTAAAGGAACAAAGAAATTACAAACAATAAAAGATTCAGGTTCAGATTGTTTTATTTAGTGCCATGTCAGCATCCAAGGCTATTTTCATGGCAAAAAACAAACAATAGGAGAAAAACAACAGAAATATACAAATTAAACTTGGGTTTTTTCAGGTACAGTAGCCTAGGTTTATAAGAAATACTTCATAAATTGAATTGTAAAAATAAAACTATATAGTCTTCACTGTATGAATTAAAAATGCATTGATATCAAAGATTCAAAAGGGATTCAGTCAAAAGCAGTGAGTGACTTCTGTGATTAAATTAACAACAGACAGCAAACGTTTATTAGGCTGCTGTCCCTTTAAGGATGAACGCACAGATATATTGTTAGACATCCAATTTTTTCCTAACAGTTTATGTAGGACATAACAGGCTGTGTTTACGTGAAATTCGTGAACACTACTCATGATGTCCATTCTGACATAATTGTGTGTGTGTATTTGATCATTCAATCGCAATAAGCAGTGAAAAGGAACTGATTTTTTTGCGTCTTTTTGTTATCAATTTTGGAAATTTGTGAATCGATGCAAATCGGCAGAAGATAGTATCGTGATTTATATGTGAATTGATTTTTCCTCCACTCCAATAATAATATATCAATAATGCTGTAATAATAATATTATTAATACAATGCTGTAATAATAACATCAGATATTTATTCAAACACATGCATCTTGGAGTTGGCACCTCACCATTGTCTCTTCTTCGGGCTGATGAGACCACACCATAAGCACCTGTCCCGATGGTCTCAATAATGTCATATTCCTCGCCAACTTCAAACTTTACATCTAAGGAGTGGGCTTTGAGCAGAGCCAAGTTCTTATCTGCAACAGTTCTTGTATCTGTTACAATGGAGGTGTCTTCGCTCGTTTGAGTCGGGCCTTCTTTAACGCCTCTGTGATGGTTGTCGTCAGTGTCGCCCTCTCTCCTGATGTTGCCCTCTGAGGCGTTACGGGCCGGTCCTGCTTGAGAGTCATTTGTCTCGTCCCTTTCATTGGTTGACATTCTGAAACCAAGCATTCAGAGAAAAGTTCTATGGTCAAGACTGTAAATTGTACTTTCTGTTCACCTTATTTACTTCTCTTGGACAATATCAAAGTGGCATACGGTTAATGCACAATCTAACTAAACTCTCATTTTAATCAGTAACAAAACAGACAATCATTTACAGAATTTCAAAAAACAGCACCACTTTCTTGTAACGCGTTCTTTTAAAATAATAACATATATTTAAAAAAAATGCTATATAAAAACAAGCTTTGTGTATTTAATGTTTACAATAATGCAAGGTGCACACTCACAGAGGTGTGAGTACGCTGTACATGAAACCATAAAAAACAGAAGCAGACACTGAGTGCTGACCACTTGTAATTGCTCATAATAATGGATTGACACACTACAGGTCCAGCAAGGCGTCGCTGGCGTGTGTGTGTAAATAATCCTGCTCATCTGCCGCAGGGGCGTGAGAGACTAACGTTACTGGCCCAAAACAGCTTACTAAATAATATATGTACCATTTCTTTCTTTTCATTTTGGAACAAAGACAAATAAAAGCAAACGTTGGGTTATGAAAGCGGTAACAATTACCTGGTAATAAATGGAAGCAGAGGAATCTCGGAGCGGTTCTTTTAAAGCATGTCTATTCTTCGTTATCACGAACCATCGTTTTTTTTTTACTTCCTTGTATTCTTCCGTATCGTGTTTGAAAGAAAGCAAAGCGACCAATCGACTGTATGCTTGTAAGTGGATTGACCAATGGGATTCGAGAACATGCTCGAGGGGCGGGCTCTTTTGTAGTGTAGAATAGGGTCATTCTTTGGGCGGTGTCGAAACTGATGGATCAAGACGCGCACTTGCTTTAGCACGTTGAACTACTATCACATGTAAACACAAAGATCCAAATCATGTAGAAATTAAACACAAACTTGATAAAACAAAGATAATTATTTTTAAAATAAAATGTAGTTTTTTTTATTACTTCTTCATCCCTTTATTTGTCGATACATGTGGGAACTCATATATGAAGAAAACATATATAAAATAATTTTGAGTTGAAAAGGATCAAAATAGGCTAAGTACATAATACATCAAATAATAAATAAAGGAAAACGTCACACAAAAATAAATTCAGGAATACATTTTATTAAAACTAAATTGTCTGTTTTATCAAGTAATTCCTATTTTCCCAGTATTGATATTGTTATTTATTTAGCGTAGTTGTGTCTTTTTCATTTCCGCAGATTTAGGCCACAAGCCCACAACACAGCAAAAATACATTTGTTCACAATATTCTAACATTTTTTTATTATTATTATTTTAAAAATACATTTGTGAATGCAATTTATCAGGCCAGTGTTTACATTGCCAATATTTATCTAACTGGGTTACTGGACACTGACCGGGGACTCTCTGCACCATCCGTTCAATCGGCGCTTTAGTCAGTCCATAAACATAGAAAAAGTGAGTAGATTAGTACAAATTGGACTGGATATACACTACCGGTCAAAAGTTCTAGATCAGTAAGAATTTTTTATGTTTTTAAATGAAGTCCCCCCCCCCCCCCCCCCAAAAAAAAAAAAATTCTTACTGACCCCAAACTTTTGAATGGTAGTGATTAATGTTACAAAAGCTTTCCATTTCAGATCAATTCTGTTCTTTTGAACTTTCTATTCATCAAAGAATCCTGAAATAAAAATGTAAAAAACTGTTTTCAACATGGATAATAATCATAAATGTTTGTTGAGCATCATAATAAGTTCTGTAGGATCATTTGACACTGAAGACTGGAACGATGCTGTAAATTCAGCTTTGATCACAGGAATAAATTACAATTCACTATATATTCACATAGAAAACCGCTGTTTTAAATTGTAATAATATCACAATATTACTGTTTTTTTTAATCAAATAATTGCAGCCTTGCTGAGCAGAAGAGACTTCTTTTAAAAACATAAAAAAAATCTTAAAACGTTTGACCGGTAGTGTATTTAAGTATTTACTGTGTATTTCCAATTTGCTCTTACAACTTCTTCATCAGTGATTAGGCAATGTTTTTTTTTTTTTTTTTTTTTTGTACGAAATTGAATGCTACTGGATTTATTGATAAATTAATGGGGCTTTAGACATTCTGAGCCGCCAAGCGCCCCCTGGTGGACAAAACGCACCCTCCCATTGGAACCGTTATACCCTGTAAAATCTGTCCTATCACGAGTTTCAGGTCTTTGAACCAATCACAGCTCCTGTCTCAGGATTTTCCACGTTGCAATACATTTTGGAAAGGTGGGACTGGGACCCGAACTTACATATTCTACTATTAAAAATTGTAGTAGCAAATTTAGCAGTTTTAAGAGTATCAATTTTTAGTCTACAAAAAAAGCTTTTGTAAATTAGGTAATTTGTTATAAAACCTCTTTACACTGTCACTGCAATGTCCCCGGGTCATTCAGTTTCTGGAGTTCCTCAATGGGAACATCGCGTTCGCTTCATCCTCTGTTTGCTGGGTTTAGTCCTGTCGGTTTACGCGCTACACGTCGAACTTTCCCGGGAGAATGATCCGGAATATCGTGCGATGTGCGACCTGGGTCATTCCGTGAGCTGCTCGAAGGTCTTCACCTCCAGGTAAGTTAAATGGTTCACTTCAGTCGTGGCAGTTTTCACACACTGAGCTCAGCCAGAAAAAGTAACGTATTGCCACACCATATTTCCCCAGTTGATTGATAACAATAAAAAAAATTGTACACATTTTCTAAAAATATTACGTTTAAATCTGACCATTGGATAAAGCCAGGTCCAAAATTATTGTTTCATTTTGTGTTTTACGACATATGGATTTCTTTTTCTTTTTTTTATCACTCCATAAATCAGAAAAAAAAAAGTTTTTAGGAATAACATGTTGCATAAAATCAGTCAAATGATAAATGAATAAGCCCCTGTGTAAAAACCTTCAGAATATATATGAAGAGTTCAGATGCAAAAGCCTCTAGTGATTTGAAATTTTACTTCCAGAATGATAATTTTTTACCAAGCTTGTATATTTAAGTTCAGTAATTTCACTTAAATGACAATTAATAGGTTATCTTCATTGCCATTTAAGTGAAATTACTGAACTTTAAAATACAAGCTTGATAAAAATGATCATTCTAGAAAAAAAAATCAAATGGCACTTAGAGGCTTTTGCATCTCAACTCTTTCTGCTTCTGAAGTAGACATTTCTGACTCAGTCCATGAGAAAAAGACTAATTTGGGAGGAAAATCAGCCTTTAAAGATATGAATCGTAAAAGTACAATAAATCAAACACTCTATTTTGTATGTTTTCCTTCCACTAGTCTGAAAAAAAAAACTTATGAAAAGCATAAATTTATCAGTACGTGATCAATTTTATTTAATGCAACCCGTATATAGAGAATATTTACTGGGAACTGATGTTATGAGCTGATGAAACTCTGATTGTACTCTCAGATGGGGACGTGGATTTGGACTCGTCCAGATCTTCACTTCCAAAGACAGCGTGTTGAATCAGCCGAACAGTGTGTTGGGAATCATTTTCTATACACTTCAGCTGGGTTTGGGTAAGTACTGTTATAATGAGACCCCAAAAACTATTTGAATAACACAATTTCAAATCAAGTGTCATCTGCAGATTAATTATGCTAGACTTCCTAATTTCGCTATTGAATTGTCTTATTGGGTCCTCAGTTATATTATATATAGAAAGAGAGAGTTATTGTGTGAAGGTGACGTGCAAATGTAATTGTGGACCTTTTGGTCACAGGTCAGCTAGTGTCCGGCCGATCGGCGTTCTTCCTCGTCATCTTCTCTTGGGTGTCAGTGGCTGGATCAGTGTATCTGGCTGCTATTCTTGCCTTCGTCTTGGGTGATTTCTGTGTGGTGTGTGTCTCCACCTACATCATAAACTTTGCACTTCTCTACACAAACCTAAAGAGAAGGACAGGACTGGAGGGACGCCAGAAGAGAGGGAAGAGTGAATAAAATCAGAGTTTGAGAGATATTAAGGATTAAGCTGCCTCTAACTTCTGCAGGGGGAAAGAGGAACACGCATCAAATAAAACATTTGACAGATTTTGGGGCTAAAAGGGTATAGTAACAATAATCTGGACTTCAGATGTTCATGAACACAAATTGAAGAGGAAACTTCAATTTTATTGTTTATCATCACAGATTTTTTAGAATGAGGAAAGAACATCTTCATGGAGGTGATGAGTTACCAGACAGTGTGTTGTATGATGATGATGATGACGACGATCATGTGATTTATATCCAGGTCAGACTGTTACATGTAGTTCTGATCAACATTTGATTAGAGATGAATAAAGTTAGATTTTCCATCAAATGTTTAGTGTATAATTATTTTTTTTGCCTTAATCCCCCACATGTCTTCCACTATATAATTTAAGATATAGTCAGATGTGAAAATAGTGCTGATTTCTGACGATAATGTACCAGTCATGCAAGAAATGTAATGCAATACACTTGACTTTATATTCTTTATTTTTAACTGGTGAACTAAATTATTGTACGATGATCGCATTGACCTGATACCTTTCTTTTACTGTCTATGCCTGAAACCTGGCATTCGAATGGCGCCATCTTGTGGTCAGAATGTGTCATTCGCTTACATCATAATTTTTTCCTGCACGTTTCTGTGTGGGGTGGCCTAGTAGCCTGACATCGCCATCCTCATAATCTATTCAGAAAATGAAAAAATCTTTTTTCGAGTCATTTGGTTTATTCCATAGACATATATACACTAGACCTCACCTTGGATACGGCAGTTCATTGGAACGAATGCGTCAATAGAGCCGCCATCTTGAAACAGGGGATCCCCTCCACTTTAATGCATCAGCGTCAATGTAGTAGACAGGTCTAACGCAAATAAAATCACCATAAATCATCATGAATGCGATTTTTCTTGTTTTTTTTTTTGTTCCAACGGTCAGACATGTATTTATCATTGATTCCAGAAAGAATTTTTTAAAAAAAAAATTTTTAAACAGTCTTCCTAGTTCAGATTTCATCCGTGTTTTCATCCAAGACCACTGTTCCAAGATGGCGGCGGTTTTGACGCATGCTTAGAACCCCCAGGTGAGGTCTAGTGTATGTCTATGGGTTTATTCAACGAAGGAAATAAACAAAATGACTCGAAAAAGATTCGTTCATTTTGATGAACGAGTTTGAACAGGAGAGTCACAAGTGCGCATCACACAACAGAGCAAGGCGAGCATTTGTGCTTATAAAACTTAAACTTTTTAATTAATTTTTTTAAATGGCCGATCGTTTCGCTAGATAAGACCCTTATTCATCGTCTGGTGTCGTTTAAAGCCCTTTAAAGCTGCACAGAAACTCTCGTTTGGACTTTGAACCGTTTGGACCGCATTGAAGTCCATTATATGGAGAAAATCCTGTAATGTTTTCATCAAAAACCTTAAATTCTTTTCGGCTGAAGAAAAAAATGGCATGGACATCTTGGATGACATGGGGGTGAGTAAAAGCAAAAGTTTTTTTGTTTTTTTAAGTGAACTACTTTAAATAAAAGATAGGCTAACAAGCTAATACACTGCTAAATATGAGACATTTACAGAAAATGTCACAAAGCTCTAAGCAGAAAGGGGAAAAAATAGGAAAACATGTCAGCCACACAAAATAGAGAGGTATAATCAGTGGAGTGAAGAAAGAATGAGTATAAGGTAAGAGGCAGGCTAGTATCCTAGACTTCGTTTTCTGGCCAAAGCAGGCCTATGTTGTGTTACAAAATCCACCCTTGGAAAAAAAGAGTAGAAAACTTTTCAAAACTCTGAACTTGAAAGGTAGAAAATCATGTGTTTGTCAAAGTCATCTGAGAAGAAACTGGCTAAAAATGTTATGCTTGGCTTATTCACAGAGATGCAAAAAAAAAAAAATGCTTTTGAATATGCAAAACTAATGGAATTAACTGAAATCAAAAACAAAACAGACCACTGTGCCAATTTACCTGAGAATGGCTGTAGAATAAAAATCTTATCATTTTGAAATCTCCTGTCTGTACATTTTCTAAGCACTCATATTCCTTCATAAACCAACTACAGTTGGAAATACAGGAGACCTTAAGCATTTGTTTAAAAACATAATAGTGTAGGTAGAATATATTTATTTCAATCTTTGTAAACTCATGTTAACTTTTGATTTGAATAATGTTGTCTATTAAACGTTGCAATAACATTAAGAACTAAGATTAATAAATTATTTTTAGAAGTATTGTTCATTTTTAGTTCATGTTACCTAATGCATTTAGCTGTTAACATGTATAACTTATTGGAAAGAGTGTATATATAGCGCTTAATAGATTTTTTCAAAGCAAGTCAATTTCAGATGTAAAGTATTCAGCTCAATTCAATTCAATAACTGCCAATGTTGTAGTAATTCATGTTCATCTCTTAATCTCAAATCTTATCAATCTCGAAAGCAGCTGATAAAGATATCTGAAAAGAAGATTTCATGAGAAGTGTAGTTTCTAAATAAACACAATTTTAGCATTCTGCACAGCACAACCACAATTTGAAAGGAGTTCATCACTGTAAAAAATAATCCTGTAAAACAAATGCTGTGGTTGCCAGCATCATACTGTAAATATACGATGTGTTACTGTTTTTGAAATTAACAGCTAAATACTGTATTGTCAGCTACGGTATTAAACTTTAATTTAACAGCTATATGTTCTAACACAAACACAGTAACATACCGTATAGTTACGGTAACCACAGCTGCCATGAGTTTACCGTTTTTAGAGGATTCATTTTTACAGTGCTCTCACAATTTGAGTAATGATAAGGACAGTCATAACACTCTGTGGTCCGGTCACGTGTCACAGAAGCTAAACTGAGCAGTCAGTATTAGGCCTGGTGGTGACCTTACAAAACTAAACAGTGCACAAGACTATTCATCAAGATTACAGCCGCCATTAAAGATTACAGACAACTCTAAAGAAACAAGAGGAATCTGAATTTGTGGAAGTTTTTGTGGATATAAGGATAATTAAGTGAAATATACATGTGTGAGAATATTTTGAAAGCACTGATTCCACAAACCTTGCAAACTTGCACTGCAAATTAAGCATCTACCACATAAAATGTCTGAATGGAATAAATGGAAGTGGCCTGTATAGTGCATCTATACCTCGTACTTCTACAAATGATAATCTTGATGAATTGGCTTGTGCACTTTTGTTTTGTAAGGCCACAAGGCCTAATACTGACTGCTCAGTTTAGCTTCTGTGACACGCGACTGGACCACAGAGTGTTATGACTGTCTCTTACATGACACACACCTTTTTTGCCTTTCAAATTGTGGTTGTGCTAATGCAATGCTAAAATTGTGTGGGTTTTTTTGTATCATATTTATGAAATCTTCCTTTCAGAGATATGGAATGTTTTTATCTTTATCATAGCCAAGTTTATCTTGCTTTTGAGATAGGATTTTCCAGTTATTGAACTGAATAGCAGGACTGTGGAGCGTAATAGGCTTGCTTTTCAGTTTCAATTCAGTTTCTGAATTGTGTACTGAGTTCTTTCGTACCATTTTGTACCAAATATAGGCTACATTTACCACCCTTTGCACTGACAGAAAAAGCACACCTAGTCATGATTAATTGGGATGTACAGGTATCTATCATATCCAGTGATGCTCTCTTATAGTTTATTTCAAACCCAAGAGAAGAAAATTATACAAAACATCCCTATTTGAAGTCATAATAATTGCTATTTATGAATATTTTCATCATTTAAATGTATTAATTTAGCAAATGATTTTGTCCAAAGTGACTTAAGGGATCTCATTTTGACAGTGAACACAAATATTCTATTTAAAATCAATATATCAATATCAAATAGTTCACAAAAGCTGAAAGGGCCTTTGCATCATTGCATTCTATATGACAAGACTGAAGAAATTAATAATGAAAGTGATTTCCACTCGTTTCCTTGCATACAATAAGGTCTCATTTGTTAATACTAGTTAATATTTTAGCTAACATGAACAAACAATGAGCAAAACATTTGTCAGTTAATAAAAAAATAAAGCTGTTCGTTGTTCATGTAAGTTCACAATGCATCAACTAATGTTAACAAATACAACTTTTGATTTTAATAATGTATTAGTAAACAATGAAATTAACAAACTTAGATAAATAAATGCTGTAGAAGTATTGTTCATTCTTAGTTCATGTTATATAAAGTAGTGATATAATGTAAACTAACAAAACCTTATAAAGTGTTTGAATGCAGTTGTAAATATATGTAAATTAAATACAAATATCCAGAAAACAGGTTGCAGAAGCAGCTTAGGGACAGAGGAAATATTGGATAAATTATCATATATAGTTCCTGGAAGGAAGAAAGGGGAAATGAGAAGGAACAAGTACTGCTTTTCCATGGATGAAAATAATCTCATTAATGACTGAACAGCATCGTCATTCGTTAACTGAAACTAACTCAAACTGAAACCATAAAAATCATTATTTCTTGCTTGAACTGAAAGTAATAAAATAAAACGTATACTTTTTTTTATTTCAGCTAGCCAAGGCAGCATTTCTTATTTTTATTAAATTCAAACGTTATTAGTATTAAATGTTGAGATTAACATTGACTTAGATGAATACCTTAGAAGTGATATGTGATGTATATATATATGAAGAGTTCAGATGCAAAAGCCTCTAAGTGCCATTTGAAATTTTCTTCTAGAATGATCTTTTTTATCAAGCTTGTATAATTAAGTTCAGTAATTTCACTTAAATGGCAATGATAATTACCTATTAATTGTTATTTATGTGAAATTACTAAACTTAAATATACAAGTTTGATAGAAATCATCATTAAAAAAGAAAATTTCAAAAGGCATTTAGAGGCTTTTGCATCTGAACTCTTCATATATGTTATATATATATATATATATATATATTTGTGTGTTGTGTATATATAATACAATAATATATATATATATATATATATATATATATATATATATATATATGTGATATATATATTATTCTTTTAACTAATTTGATTAATGCATTATAAAAGGAAAACCTCACTGTAAAGTGTTACTAAAGTTTTAACTTAAATTCTAATTTTTATACTAATCATGTATTACGCCATTCAAGACCAAATACATTATTTTAGCATATCACTATGGCTACATCTGTTCTGTGTATGTATAACCATCATGTGCTGTGGACAGGTAAACAGAGACCTTTTTCATAGAAACAATTTTGCATGCTAATATGCATCTTCATAATAGCCTACTATGGAAACCGTCTATATTCAAATTCTCATATGTAGTGATGTATGTTATGCAATTCTAGAGGACATTTGGAGTTGTCAACACACTGCAAGGTAAGGGTTTTTCAGAAATTATTTTACTTTGTTTGGTACAATGAAATATCAGTTTTCGCAACGTTTTCAAAGATGTATTGCTATTCTATATAATGATTCATGATTGTATATTTCTATATTTATTTTTTCAGACATTTTTAGACAAGAGCCGACTAAATCT